AGAGAGAGAGAGAGAGAGAGAGAGAGAAAGACCTTATCCTGGTTATATAGGCACATAAATATTATACTCGATAGGAAACCAGCGTTGTAATCAAATGAGGAAGGTTTAGTAACTACACATATACTCGTGGTTTTTGACTATAAAATTATTGATTATAAAATTATCTTCAACCGGGCCATTAGACCCATATTAAGACTAATTCACATATCAGCTATCACACGATGTTCTACTATCACAGTAGTGACATCGCAGGTCAACGAAAGGTCAGGTTACCCCTGCAGACCGGCGTATGTGTAAGTGTAACCTCGTACTTCTAGGGTTAGTATAATTATGTAACGACGCATTCTTGCGATGCTAAACCACATGTGACGCTATTTCCAGTAGCAATTGGTAAGCTAAGTCAGTGTGCGCGTTTCTGCGTGCGTGCATGCGTCCATGTGTGTGTGCGTGGGCGTGCGTGCGTAAGTACATACGCACGTCTTTCCGTTTGTTCGCGTCTGCGTGAGTGTCTGTCTGCGCGCGTGCGTGTGTGTGTGCGTGTGCGTGCGTGCGTGCGTGTGTGTGTGTGCGTGCGTGCATGTGCGTGTGCGTGTGCGTGTGCGTGTGTGTGATGTGTGTGTGTCTGCGCGCGCGTGTGTGTGTCCACAATATTTCCAGATGTAGATATGCGCTTATGCGCGCATGCGTCGTCAATGCACCACATCGTCACCTATCTTGAAGCTAACTTTCTGCCCCGACCGCACCGGCTCCGAGTAAGTCCGTCGTCGCCTGCAGATCGGTAGATCGGCGACGTCGTCCTCCCAGTTGATGTTGGGCTGTGATAACGACAACGCTGTGTAGGACGGAGGTAAAGTCGCCTTATATTCAATATCCAGCTGCAGCATGCGAGCTGTCAGGCTCATTTGCGACATCGCTAGACTCTCGACGTACGTCGGCGGCGGCAGCGACTCGCCGCTGTCGTTGCTCGCCGCGTCCGACTGTTGCGTCCCCTGGATCGTCGTCAACGACACAGTATGGCTGCCCGACGACGATGCCTCGTCGCTCTCTCGCGCTTCGTAGATGACGTCGCGACGAGCGGCCGACGGTGGCGACGCAACGCTGACCTGACGCGACGGTTGTACGTGGTCCGATGTGACGCTAACCAGATGCGTCAGCTGCGGGTCATCTGACACAACGCTAACCTGATGCGTCAACTGCGGGTTCTCCGACGCGACGTTAACATGACGCGTCAGCTGCCCGCCATCCGACGCAACGCTAACCTGATGCGTCAACTGCGCGCCGTCCGACGCGACGCTAACCTGACGCGCAAGCCGCGCCTGCTCGACGCTACTCTGACGCAGCGCCGCCGTCACCTGCTCGTAGCGTCGGCTCTGGTCGCTCAGCTGACGCATGAGTTCGCCGACGACCGCCGACTCCGGCACGGCGACGTCGTACGACGGCGGCGGTTGCGACAGCTCTGACAGCAGCTGCTCCTGCCGCTGCGTGCGGTCGACGACGCGTCGGCGATTCACCTCCGACATCGTGGCTCGCTGAAGCCGCTTACGCACCATCGAGACTTGAAAGCAGATGGTGATGCCGCTCGTGAAGAGAATCGGTCCGATGAAGTAGAGAGAGCCCGCGGCAGTGTTGATTCCGAAGCGCTCCATAACGGCGAAGCTGAGCAGAAAGAAGCCGACGCAGATCAGCACGATGGCGACGACAAGCTGCGCCGACGCGAGCGCCACCTTGTAGCGGATGCACGCCTCGTTGTCGATCGCTTCCGTCTCCGTGGCGACGTCGACGGTGAGACTAGCGCCGCATGGCGTCGCCGGATGCGTTTCGGAGAGTATGCCGTTGCTGCCATGCTGACCGTTGGTCACGTGGGTGTTCCTGTCCGCGTCGGTGGCGCCACCTACGTCGAGGACGCATACCGTGTCGACCGTGCCAGCCATCGGACTGCTACGCGCGCTCGCTTGCTTGTGTTCTATGATCGCGTTCCATGCTGGAGGATGCTGGGTGATGGCGACGTGCAGTCGTGTCGGCAACGCTCGCATGCTGCTGCGGTGACGGGGTCGCCTTGCGGGCGCAGTCACCGCCGCATCACAGTATAACGACCCAGCTACCGCTATTACGCTCTCTCGCTCTCTCTCTCGCTCTCTCGCTCTCTCTCTCTCGCTCTCTCTCTCTCTCGCTCTCTCTCTCTCTCTCTCTCTCTCTCTCTCTCTCTCTCTCTCTCTCTCTCTCTCTCTCTCTCTCTCTCTCTCTCGCTCTCTCTCTCTCTCTCTGTCTCTCTCTCTCTCTCTCTCTCTCTTTCTCTCTCTCTCTCTACACTGAGTCGAGGAGCCACGCGGGCGAGGCTTCCCCACGCGTATCGATCGAATCCATTTCACACGGCGTGGCTGTGGCAGTAATAACCGCCTAGCGTCTCACGCGCGATACGGTACGCACGTTATTATGTTGTATAGGCGAGCATATACAGCTACAGCTGCCGCCCTGCGTCGTCGCTTCACACAGCGGTCGCGTATTTACCATACAGGGGTGCGTACTAGATCCGAAGGGTCGATGAGTGAGAGAGAGATATGGTTGGCTCGCTGCCAACGACCGACTGTAGAAATGCGACTATTTACGTCGTCGACTCGGCGCAGTCCGGCCACAACTGTTGTGCTTGGCCGTGGCGCTCGCGTTCACACATGCCCGCTTCGTTACAGAGAGGAGCGCACACGTTGCGGTCACGAGCTTACTGTAGTGTGTGTGTGTTTGCGTGGATTATTGGCACCAGGGAGAAATACTCATTTTACATACCAGCCTTTACGTATCGCGTGTTCAGCGGTACGATGGTCGTGTTGCTGTTTTTGTTGTCAGCTGCTTGCGTGCTGTCCTCATCGCGTGTGCAGAGAATAGTGTCACACGGGCGTCTCTCGCTCGTGCTCACGATCGCTACGTTACACGCACGCACGCACGCGCACGCACGCACTGTGGCCCTACTCGGCGTCGTACGACGCGTGGAATAGGTTCGAACGTGACGTCACGGTTGTCACAGACGCCGCGAGTATGGAAGAGATCGCAGCAGACGACACCGATTCGAGTTCCTCGTCCGGTAGAGATTCCAGAAACTCGCGTCTATTTTGGCTCTCTCACTCTCGCGTCTATTTTAGCGTCAAGTCTCGCGTCCAACACACACGCGCGCACACACACACAGAGAAGCGCCTGCGCGCATTGACGTATATACGCGCGCGGAAAACTTGCTCATGCGCTAAGATTTGCCTCGTGGATCGTGGACGGTAGTGTCTTTACACCGATTAGCACCCACATCGAATTCCGCGCGCTAGGCACAATAGTTCCGCCTCTCTCTCTCTCTCTCTCTCTCTCTCGCTGAGAGGGTCTCGTTGTTACCTCTTCGGTATGTGGCAATACGTTAAGCTTTACTACGCAAAGTATACGACTTTTGTATCCCACGCCCTCCACGTCACATGTCGATCATCTCAGCTCCGACCAATCAAGCGTTACGACGAGCTGCGAGGGGGCGTATCGATCGATGAGCAGAGATCACGTGTCCTTCTTCCCCGCGCCGCCAAACGATCCATCTACAGACTACCGGTTACCGTAGATACGGATAGACGGTATCCGACAGTCTGTGATCCATCTGCCCTATTTCGCTGCTAGACGATTATTATTGTTTGTACGCGGGTGTGACGTCATCGTTTGAGTCTCACGTGTGAGCCGAGTGACCGATGTTTGACCGCGACCGAAGGTCAAGTGATTTACGCTCGTAAGGTCCTACTGTCGCATGTCGTCGATTCGAAGGGAACATTTACGCGATTTTTGCACGCGAGTATAAATTGGCACAGTTTACCCGTGGCGTCGGTTGGTCTGCCTTATTATGCTGCATGCTGTCTCAAGCTTGCATGCGCCGTTAATTGCCTTGAAACTGCCTTATAACATGATATCAGGAGTTAATAATAATAGATCAATTAATAATCTATTATTATTCACTCCTGATGATATGGATTATAGTGTTGGCGTACAATTGCTGTGCGGCTTTCTAGTATATCATACATTCAAACGTCATTTACTTAAAAAACAACATGATTTATTGGTCTCATTATGATAATTCAATAAACTGATTTTGCATGCCTATATATTGAAACCACGCAACGACAACGCCTGACGCGTTGACACGTCTATTATCGAGCGTGGCAGTTAATCGGTGATTTGTAATGGAAAGAAGAATCAATCGCAAATAAATTAAGAGCCACATTGATTCGGAGCATTGGGTTACGCCATAAATTCTATTAATTCATGTGAAAATTAAACAACGCATCACCAGTAGACGCTTCGCTCTACATCACGAAAAATGCGCAGACTTTATTACTAATTCACATCCGCAGTGACGTCAGTCTTCGGCTCTATGCCCAGGTGGCGCTCCCATCGCGTCAGCTCATTTACGAATCCCCTGTTCGGCTTCATTGACACGCAGCACCGCTTCACGTGAGTCCATGCAAGCTGTGCGGAGAGGGTGGATCGAAAACAAGGACAATATATGTTAATTAACCATTACGTCGCGATAAATGCGCGCCTTAGAACTGACGTATAGGCGGCTTTAAACATGCGGAAGATCTCATAAAAAAATGATGATGACGTAGTTAAAACTGCGTGCGCATGGATGGTCATGCAGTGAGATGCGACATTCCCCCCTGCAAACTACTAGCAAAGAAATTTCAAAAATCTAAAGGAAATATAATTATAATGAACTCAAATTTGCATAATAAAGTAATTTATATGTAATAATTAATAAATTTATACTGCAATATATATATAATGAGTTTAATGAGTTTAACTAATCATTTAATGTTATTACATAGAGTAGGGATATATATAGGCCTATATGCATACGTTTAGTGTGCATTGTTGTTTGTACATCAGATAGGCAAGAATCATGGCCACGCTTCTGCAGATGCCCAGGTTGGAGTAAACGAGCACTGCTCCGGTATCGTCTTTAAGCATCTGTTTCTCTATTGAATTGTAAGGAAAACTCGACCATATATATATATTATATATATAGATATATATATATATATATATAGATATATAAGATATGATTAAAAACGCGGGTGGCCGTTGTTTCGTAGATATAGTCCATAATTAGTGTCGATGCAGGCGGCACGGCCGCTCGATATACAGGCTTACGCACGAGGCACAGCACATGTGCACACGCAGGCATCCACCACACGCACCACACCCCCATCAGCGCACACACACTCACACACACACACCACGCACGCACGGGACGCACGCCACACGCACGCACACCAGTCGCACACACCACCCACACGCACAACACATTGCACGCGCACACCACCGGGACAGGGGGACGTCACACGCGAACGCACGCGCTACACGCAGCACCACAACGCACGCACACACACCCACCACGCACAACACGCCCGCACCACGCCCAGAGTCGCCCGGCACGCACACCACAGACACACACGGGGCACGCACACGCACGCAGCACAGTCAGCACACACCCCACACGCACCACACGCACACGCGCACACACACACACAACACACGAACAGGATAGGCATGACACAGCATAAGAAGCTGGCGGGATGTAGGTGAGCCGGGCTTTGATTTTATCATCTAGGAATCGCTCCACCGACTATGAATTACAGTATTCTTCGAAGTGGCGCTGAAGACACATCTGGCATGCCGTGAGGGTCTTCACTGGTATGTGCAAGTGTCACACACAACATCGGATGGAACCTAATATACGTAATCAATAGATTCTAACATGACGGGGCTGATCAGTGAACAAACGTTCGCCGCCGCTATTGGTACGCAATGAGTGACGTACAGAGATGGAATACTTCGAATACTTAGAAGGTAGCAAATATTAACAACAAGAATGTAATGAACGCAAAATGTGTTTCGTATTAAGTCCTTCTATTAAAGAATAGACAAATTAAAAATGTCTTTTAAAATGATACGAGTAATGTTTGCGTTTGAAACATTGGGTGTGGGGTATGGTGACCGAAGGCTGCCACTTACGATTTTACCTCTGAAATAAATTAAAAGCAAATTTAAAAAAATTAAAATATAATAATAATAAAAATAAAAATAAAAATAAAAATCGTTTTCAAACTCACTAGTAAAGTGAAATCAGTTTACGCGTTGGCCGAGGGCTGCCACTAAAGTGAAATCAGTTTACGCGTTGGCCGAGGGCTGCCACTAAAGTGAAATCAGTTTACGCGTTGGCCGAGGGCTGCCACTAAAGTGAAATCAGTTTACGCGTTGGCCGAGAGCTGCCACTATTAGGAGGGCTAATAGGAGAGCGATTAGAAGGCCCACTACTAGACGCCAACGCCAACGCGTAAACTGATTTCACTTTACTAGTAAGTTTGAAAACGATTTATTTTTTATTTTTTATTTTATTTTTATTTTTTATTTTTTATTTTTTTATTTTTTTATTTTTATTTTATTATTATTATTTGCTTTTATTTATTTCAGAAGTAAAATTGTAGTGGCAGCCCTCGGCCACCATAGTGGAGCTTACTAAGAAATGATCTCCGGGTTGTGTAAACAGATATTGTCAAGGAATTATTTTTCCCGTAAGAGCGGCGAGTGACCACTGAGTGTACGAAGCCCGTTTAATTAACAGATTGCAATTAATCATTCCAATTTAACAAATTACCATAGTTAAATGATCGAGCAATTCTGAATTCACTAACTTGTCTGGCTTTGAACCGCACACGACTAGCGCATTCACGCAGAGGTGCTTGAACACGCGATCAGTGTGGCATCCGGAACACGATGTGCCCGACGCTTGCCGAGATAGAGTCTGCCTGGGACGACCTCTAGCGGGTATGTATTCAGGGCATCTAGCTCCTACAGTAAAGATTGTCCTTATATCTGTCGCAGTAATGTCTCACGGTTTTGTGTCATGCTAAGGAAATCATTTACAAGTTACTATCCACTTGACATTATTTCTCCGGTGAATCCTATTACGAATTAAATCATAGACCCACAATGCACAACTAAGCAGATTTGTTAATGGAAATACAAACTGCGCGTGCCTATATATATATATATATATATATATATATATATATATACATATATATATCCTTCTTTATATACGCTCTTGATATATATATATAGATATATATATCTGCGTGTATGCCTGCATGTGTGTGTGAGTGCCTGTTTGTGTGCAAGTGCATGCGCGCGTGGGCGCGTGTGTGCGTGTGCGTGTGCGTGCGTATGTGTGTGTGTGCGTGCGTGCATATGGGTGCGTACATGCGTGCGTGTGTGGGGGGCGTGTGCGTGTGTGAAACGTGTGCGTGTGTGTGTGCATGTGTGCGCGCGCGTACCTACATGTGCGTACTTACTCTCGGCATATAAATCATCTTTTTCGTCCTCAAGAACGGGTATCTGGCAGAAAACTGCTCGTATCCTCCTGCATAAATGACAGTCGGTATCTAACACTCAGATCCACCGCGTTACATTACAGCATCACGATCACATCCTTGGGCCGTTCCAATAATAATATGATCAGGGGTGAATAATTATATTGATGATCGATACAAGTGATCGATTATTATTCACTCCTGATATGATGGTGTACACAATACATGCGAATTATGTTCACGACCAAAGTTTCAGCTACCTCTATATCTGTGTGACATTTGTATGTTGAAGAGGAGACTTGAAAAGCGTTTACACTACGCGGTGATAGAGAGTACGTAAACATTTTTAAATCGTGGTAGTAAATATAATCCGTATTTACGATTATTTTTTAATTGTGGCCGTATTTCATTACACGATGTGCCCGTGCGTACTATATATGGCTACAGGTGGGTCGCCTGGCGTCTCGGAGGCGCTTGATGATATAGCATATGTGACAGATACTTCGTATCGCCACTGATCGCGGACGTTGTAAGACACGCGAATGCTCTTTCGAAACTAGCCGCTGCTGCGATAGCTGGTTGTAGGTTTATCACGCCTCGTACCTTTGAGAATTTTCACGGGGTTCCGGCTACCGTTTTCTGTTATCATCCGTGCGCATTTCACTGCTGCGCCTAGACAAACAGATCGGATCCATGATTAACATAAAGTGACAACAAATCCGTTGCATGATGACTCATGCTGTTACCGAGGTGAGTATGGATACGGTAAATATATTTGAAGCTATTGATATACTGCCATATGCTGTCAACAACAGAACGTGAAGACTGTATTTGAATTTCATGCAATAAAGATTTAATAATAATAATAAAACGCGCCTTTGGCTTGTGACAAACAGTGGTCCACACGTGGCTACATATGTGAGGCTGTTTTTCTGTCAGGGCTGGCGCAACCTCCGTGTCTCAGCTAACGCTCCTTTAGGAGTGTTCCCAACTTTTATATCATTAATGATTCATGATTCATGATTAATGATTAATGATTAATGATTAATGATTAATGATTAATGATTAATGATTAATGATTAATGATTAATGATTGATAATCCTAACCCTAACCCTAACCTTAACCCTAACCGAACCTATAACATAATCCTAACCATTAATGACATTAAAGTTGGGAACACTCTATCACCCCGC